GAAACCTCCCACGGCTCCTGCCCTCCTCAGAGCCTCAGGCCGGGCCGGGCGCTGGGTTGAAAGGCCTCTTGGGCCCGCGGTCTGGAGCCGGCAGCGAGCGATGCGAGAAGGGGGGTGTGACGAGGTGGAAACAGCCGGGGACGGGCGTGGAAGGAGGCCCGAGGCCGCGTGCGTGCCCGGAAGTGACGGCATGGGGCCTCGGGCTCCTCCTGCCGTCGGGGAAACATTAACTTGCAGTGCTGCTGCCTTAGGCACAGCAGGTTGGAAACCACCTTGCAGAAAACAGTTTAAGTAGGCACAGGCGATAATGGAAATTCCTGTGTTTACGGTTGATGCATTTACAAACCGGCCATTTTCTGGAAATCCAGCGGCAGTTTGTCTGCTTGAAAATGTAAGTTCAAGAAAAAAATGTTTTGTGAGGGACTGCAATGACATTTACCATTCCATACTTGACCAGAGCATTCTGCACTGCATTAGTCTTTGCTTCCTTTACTCAGGAGTTCTGCATGTGAGCGTTGTTGGCTCTTGCTCCAGAACACAGAGAGAGCAGCGCAGGGTAGTTGTTCCATCAGAACGATTTCATAGAAGACATGCTTTGTAGTTTATGGATTTTTTTATTTTTTAAAGAATATGCTGGTCTTATTAAAACTGCACTGATTCGAAAAGGAATTAAGCCAATGGATTCAGAAGATCTCCAGAAGGAAATGCAGTTACATAGTATCACTACTCAGTTTTTGAACAAAGGGTTAAAGTGTAGGGTTCGGTTTGGTGTGGGTAATGTTTTTCCTCTTTTTTCTTTTTCTTTTTTTTTTTTTTTTCTGTTTTTCTACAAGGAAAGAGGGAATAAACATGTGGACCCAGGTCTTCTACTGTTAGTGTAACAGATTAACCTTTAGCCAAGTTTAAACAGACAGTTTTTCTTGCTTCAAAGTTGCATTGTAGTTCTAGTGCAATTTGCCATAGTCATCCTTCTCATCAAGGAGTTCTGAATAGTTGACACAAACTGGTAACACTGTTGACCGTTTCTACCAAAACCTAATTATCAAACTGGATTAGAAACTTATAGGCTTTATATTGTTTGTACAGTAATACTTGACCAAAATTCTTGGTATGAATTGGTATGCAGAGCAGTCAATGGCAATATCTTGTACTGACAATATAGATGCTTTCTAGATGTTTCCAAGCTTATTCAGAGCTCATACAATACAGCCTACTTACCAGATCACCTAAAGTTGTGACTGAGGGCATCTTGTTTCAGAGGTGTTTTGGATCCCCTAAAATCTAAATGCTCCCTTCTGGGTTGTGTGTACTTTAAAACTATGAGCTTCCAATTGCATTTTTAGGTTAATTTCACTTTATTATTTAATATATTCTGAGAGCAGCTTATTTGCATGCTGCCTTTGGAGTGTTGAGGGTTTAATTTTTTTCTACAGTACTTGGGCATAGAGGCTTTAATTTCGAAGCTGAGATTGAGCTGTTGCCACAGGATGGCAGTATTTCAATAAAGTTCTATTATTTCTAATAACGTTTTGATTGTTTTTTGTTCTTGTTTAGTATCTTTAGAGTAATTGACAGAAGTATTTTCCTGGAATAAAGGAAAGGTGCTTGTTCTTGTAGAAAGTTAGGATGTTTCACTGTGTAGAATTCACGCTGCAAATACAGGTCTCTAATAGACATCAGTAATTGTTTCATATCTGAGTATGGATTCATTGGCTGGAAAGGATTCACGTTGTAAAGGGAAATAAGTAGAGTTAGGAGTACAGATTTTTGTCTCTCAGAGGTGGAACTTGACCAGGTCCACTTGGGACTTTCTTTTTCTTTGTGTTTCAATATTTTAATGATCAGATTCTTAAACCTGGCCAGTCAGCATGATTGTGGGGAAAGAGCAATGGAGCAAGGGTGAAGCAGAATTCTGTGCAATTGCTACAGCTCCTGTCCTGGGATCAATGTTCACCAGTTTCAGTCTGCAGGCAGTCAGAGAAGAATGTGGCAAGCTTCAGCATTTTTGTTTTTCAATTCTCTCCCCTCAGCTTCCACTGCCTTAGCATGTCATTGCCACTGGTGGGAGAGTAACACTGAGGGTACAGCCCTAAGTGCCCACCAGCCATCGTGGCTGCAGCCCTGGGCATTAGTACCTTCCTCATGCTGACATGCTCTTTTCAGACTTAGAAAAGGAGAGTGGTAGTTTTAGGTTGCATTAATAACGACTTCTCTGTGTGATGTCAATCATAACTTCAAGTAAAAGGTTTGTGTTCATGGAAAGACTGAGGTTAGTTTTTTTGGTCATTTTATTTTCCATATATTTCAAGAATTTGTAAACCAGTGGGACAAATGTTTGAAATGACATGTATCACAATAATTGAACTAGTTATCCCATTTTATGCTTAAAGTTTTTTTTTAACTCTCAGAAAGTATTTTGAACTGAAAAATAATCTGTTTTATTATAACAGAAAGCAAAATTACTATATTTATTTGATAGGAAGTTTGATTCTGCATTTTTTTTTGCCTCCTTTCTTAATTGGATCTTTTCTTTCACCATTAGGACTTGGATGAAGCTTTGCACCAAAAAATTGCGACAGAAATGAACCTTTCAGAAACTGCTTTCATCAGAAAACTGCATCCTGGAGATGATTTTACTAAAAGTGAGTGGTTCTGTTTAGCTGTCAAAATCTCTTACAAGGCAATGGGGAGACACCGTGGGTGCATTTATAAGGAATGGTGCAAATTTATAAGACAGCCAAAGCAAAATCTTGGAGTTGTGATGGATCTTAATAATAATGATAAGTCTGTGACACATGAGTTCTTTAAAGTATTTGTGCTGCATATTAAATTCATTTTCTGATATCCAAACATTTATTATTCACAAATTAGACCATTTTTGTAGTGCCTTTTACTAAATAAGCACATTGCATATAGATGGTCTCACAGAAATGCAATGCAAAGATCCTTCAATTAACACTTCCCTTACTACTAATAATCTCCTGAGAGAACTTCTTATACTTGCAGAAGAACAGAGATGGTCTGTGCTTGTTCTGTGCACGCAAGACTGCTGAGTGAGTAGAACCTGGCTTGGCTGTTCAGCCCATCATCACTGGAGTAACTGTAGGCTGTTTGAGTTTGCCACACAATCTCATAAGCTGTATGCAGAGCCAATACTAGGAAATACAGGTTTCCAACGAAACTCAGAAATCTGAGGTTGCCCAAAAGAAACACATTAGGCTGCTCATTTGTTTGGCTTGAGTGGAGGAACTTCACTGGTGTTGTTTGATAGGGCATAGATAGGTGATGGGAGAGAAAATGGAGAAGCACTGTACAAGACAAAAAAAACATATGAGACAGAGTCCAGTCAAACTCGCTTTGTGGATTAGTTTTCAGCTAAATTTGTTTCCTGAGTCTGCTCACCTTGCAGCTGTGTGCTGGCATGAGCCAAGGAGCTGGAACCCCATGGATGGACAAGGAGTTAGATTCCAGGTTGAGGGGTCATGTTGGCATGCCCTCACTTTGACACAGGGTAGTGGAAGAGAGAGGTAACCAGTTTTGGGGTTATTGGCTGTCTGAGAGAGACTCTAGACCAGTATATGGAGAAGCTGTTCCTTACCATTTGATTGATTGTAATGAAAGATATTTTCTTGAAGTAACTACCATTGCTTACTCCTATTGTTAATAAATAAGGATTTGTTTTAGGGTTGGACTAATTCCTTGCCTCAAGAAGTGGTTGTAATTCTAATCTTTCATGTTAACATTTTTCATGTTTTTCATTGGCACAGCTTGCCAATGTGTTTTAACACATCTAGTTGTTTTCAAGTCATCCATATTGAACAGCATATAAAATGCTAGCTTCTCTCTCTTCCAAGTGCTTTTGATATTAATGGGATTAGTGTTTGTGACATCAGCCCCAAGCATCTGCTGAAGAGATGCAGAATTTTTTCAAAGGAATTTAGTCACTGGGCTACACCTAAGAATGTGTGTATCAAGGGGAGGTGGGAGCCAGAGCAGACCAGGAACATCACAATGTCATTCATGAGACTGTCATCTGCTTCTGGAACATTAACTGGTGCAGTAAGAATATGTCGTTGCAGGGGTGCAAGTTTGTGATCAGTACATTTAATTTTAATTTTTAAAAATGACATTATTTTAAGGACACATTAATTTACAAGAGTGCAAAATGTCTTCTCGGTCTGTACAGCTGTGTGTATTGGGGATCCAGGCAGGTGTTGTGTAGGGGTCACAGAGCTTGACTGTCTGGTCCATCCTGGCCATCTTCATGGCCTCCTGCTTTCGGCCACAATCTCCACCTGGGAAAGATCCTAACTCCTGCTAACTCCCCAGGGCAGGCTCAGGGCTGGTTCTGTCACTGCCCTGCCCCACAGCACTGCTTGGCCGTGGCCCTTAGCTCCATCCACTAGGTTTTGTTGGGATTCTGTTTGTTTTCATTAGGGAACTGACTTGACTGCACTGTTCTCTCGCAGGGTTAACTACAAGATTCATTTAGGGTGCTTTTAAAATACCATTTTTCTTTTGCACCTTTTACTTACAGTCGTATGGTATATAGTCACCTGAAGTATATTTTCATAAGCCTTATCTTCAGTGCCACAGTGCAAGAATTTGGCAAAACCTACAGGAGACCAAAAAGAGTGCGCCTGGGTTCCAATTTTTTTAAACAACAAATAGAAATAAGATTTCTAGTGAAATAAAAGGTGAGGCTTTTACCAGACCTGACTAGTGTTGTAAGCAAAATAATTAATAACTGACGTAGCTCTGCTACAGGTTCTATTACACCAACAAAACTATCTTTGACCTCTAAGGTGTGACCAGCCTGCAGGTGTATAGGAATCACCACTGGGACTTTGCAGGATTCCATAACGCATGAGGGCATGGAGGCTTTATCTTCTAAATTCTCTACTTCATTGCAGATTACCACAAATATTACAAAAATCACCACTAGCAATTATACCTATGATTAATCAAGTGCATTCTCAAGGTATTACAAATTTCAGGGATCAATAGTAGAGCAGGAATCAAAAATAGCAGCAAGAAGTATGTCTATAATATTACAGGTTACTACAAACTAGTCAGTAATCAAATTTACCAATAGTATAACAGTAGATATGATAGGTTTTATATATATATATATATGTGCATATAAGGTACCAAGCACATTGGATAGATTGCAGAGGGAAGGACAAACAGATCCCAGAAGGGGAGCCAGCCGTTGCAGAAGCAGCGAGACAAATCAAACCAAGCCCAAAGGTGGACAATTAAATAACAGCCTCTCTCTTCAAAGATGATCTGTCCTGGAGTTTGGAGTCAGACGTGTGTCCCTGGCAAGGGTCTGTGATCTTGTAGCAAGTTCATGCAGACCTGTTTAGGTAAGGGAAAAATACATGCAGCACAGAAAGTTTTTGCAGAAGGAAGCTCCATTTTGGGTAAAAATGAAGTAATTTTTATATCATAGAGACATGAGAGAACATGGGACACAACCACTTCAAGAAGCCAAGAGATGCTGTTTTTCACCTGAAACAGCCAATAGAGGGTGATATTTTCTCTTCTCTTAGGCCCATTTTTATTTTTCTGGACTGGTTTCCTGTTCTTTCACTTTGAACAGCTGGTGGAAGTTACCAATTTTTAGTTTCTCTGAATGTTTTCCCCTTTTTCCAGACTGTTTTTCACCTTTTCAAGGTGATAAGTTGCTGTTGCAATTTGTTGGTTTTGTGCTTGCCAATGGTATCTTGGCATGTCTCCAGTTTCTAGCTGCCCAGCAGCACTTCAGAGGTGCCTGCTGGGCTTCTCAAAGGTGCTTCTGTTTCCCAGGTCAGCAAGGATTTCTACTCAGCAGCTCCTTTGCTCTTGTAACAGTAGCTTTCCTCTGTAGTAGTAGTCTCCTGGTGTTGACCTGGCTCAAAAGCAATGGCTTTTCCAAAAATCAGTACAAACTAAGTTCCTAAAAGTGTGTTTAAGACCAAGACTGTTTATAACATGCATTTTGATTAACTGTAATGTCAACACTCTGTATAAAGTTTGGAAATAAATTGAAGAAATAAGCTTCTTCCACTTAATAATACCATGTAAACTTTATTTTCAAGGTTCCTGCTTTGGACTCAGGTGGTTCACCCCAGCCAGTGAAGTTCCTCTCTGTGGTCATGCTACACTTGCATCAGCTGCTGTGTTGTTTCACATAAAAAGTATGTTTACAAATATTTATTTCTATAACATTTTAGAAACTGTGCTTCTGAGCAAACTTCTTATTTTCTACAACAAATGCAATTAAATATTCAGAAGATGTAGCAAACACATAGGGTGATATACAAGGTATTGTCTCTTACAGTTGCTATGTGATTATAAGGCTGTAGTCCGATTCCTACACTTGGATTCTGATGGTCTGCTATTACTCTTGTTGAAGAAAAGTGCAAAGAAATAAATATGTAAATGTTGTCTGGGAAAGGAACAGTAGAATTTGAGGAACAGGCAATATCACTCTTTCTATTAAAAGGAAATTCCCCTTCATTCTAGGAATGTGCAGGAAAGATTTCCTGCAATTGCCATGTTTATTAGCCGCAGCAGGTTATTTATTGAGTTAGTTTGCTATTTTGTCTCAGAATACAGCTTTATTGCAGTTATTATAGTTTAGCTCCATAAGTAATGTTTCCTGAACATACTGAGCTACTGGAAGAACTATAATAATTTAGATCCAGATCTTATCTTTGATAATGTTGCAGTGTTCTCTCTCTAGAAAATGCAAATCCAGTTCTCACATTTGTCACACTGAGTGGGGAATTAAAAGCCAGACAAGTGGAAGAGCATATTGTTCTGGACTTGCCACTTTATGTCACCTACCCACAGGTCAGTCAAATTTTTATTCCTTAAAGGCTTGCAAGGAAAGTGTGTGTTTGTTTGTATGTGTATGTAAGTGTATCTATCTTTCTATAGGTGAATAAACACATACATATATATTTTCTGCTTCTTAGAGTGTGGTTTTTTTTTTTTTTCCAGGTACTTCAGGAAGTAGAAGAGTTAATAAAGGTAAAAAAAGAATCTGTATACGGTCTTAGAAGTGCATTTATAATAGGTATTTTTATATATGAAAATGGCCAAAAAGTGGCAACATGTCATTGCTTGATGTAGTCCTGAACTTGAAACACTAAACTTTAAGTGTCTCTGTCATGCAGCCCAGGAAATGGAATTCTCCAAAATGCTACCACTGAACTGTTGTCTCACACTACCATTGGCTAGAGTGTCAGATGTTCCTTCAGTGGCATTCTCAGCCTGTTGTATGTGTGTGGGGGCAATTGAGTGTCCTTGCCCTCTTCTAGGGCCCTGAATTTCTTTCTGAGCTAACATATACAGAGCTCTTAGCACCTACCGGTGAACTTAGTGCTTTACTTTTATTTCTTGCATGGACTTGGGGGCTGCATGAAAGACCTTACATAAGCCCTGTTCTAGCATGGCGTTTGTTATGTGAAAACATTAAGGAAATAATATTTCAAATTCACATGAAAATGTTTTTCTTGGTCTTTAACTTTTCCACCAGGCAGCCGTTGGTGACATGATTGTTCAGGATCTCCGTTATTCTCCTGACACAAAGAAACTCTTAGTCCGCCTCAGTGATGCTTATGAAAGGTGTCATACTTTTTTTTTTTTTCTCTAAAATCAAGCATGCAGAAATTTGGTCTGCTTCTTTAACCTCTATTCCTTCCATACTAGGCTCTTCTATGTAGTTTTAAACCAGGTGGAGATTAGAAACTCTAAACTCCTGTGTTAAATAGTTATTTGTCTTCCAGTATGAGCTTCTTGAACCTGCAAAGCTGAATAAGATCCATCAGAAATCTGTCTCCAAGAGGTGGTGTAGGAAATGGTTTTAACATACGTATATTTTCCCCATCCAAGTTAAAAAACCATCCAGTAAACTAGCAGGAAATTAGAAATCTTGCTTCTCATATGAAGAAGTAAGAGTTGCATAGCTGTAGGGTTCCACTTAGTGAGACAGGGCACATTGACAGAATGCCAGGGATCCTTACTCCCATTTGGCTGTAATCTACTTACACATACTTAACAGCATTGTAAGTAGCTTTATAGAGGAAATTCCAGTTCAAATTATTCAAAAGCATTTGTTAATCTCAGAGAGCTGAATTTCATTAGGTTAAGTATGATTTGGATATATATTGCCAAAACACAGATTCTTTGATCAGGGCAAATTACTATTATTTTCACTTGAAGTGTGGCTTCACTAATGTTTAAAGTTCGTACTAGTGGTGATGTAGAAATATCATCAGCTAAGCACATTTTAAAAAAAGTAAAATTTTTGGACTTTATTTTCTAGGGAGCTACCTCCAACTTCACAGAGTTCAGACTGTTCTAGGCTGCTTTAGAATCCCATGAAGATCTGAATGGTGTTATTTAATTTCTCTGAAGTGGGGTGGAGTGCTTGCTTTTTACATTCTGTAGTGATGAAATATCTGTGTCAATGATCAAAATGTTCAAATGGAAGTTTGTTCTTCTGTAGTTAATATTCCAGGATGCTCTGTTTTCAGAAATAGGTAGGAAATGCATGGTTTGAACTTTTTTCCTCTGCTCACTCAGTGTGTTATAGTCAGGGTAGTCTTCTGTCAAATGACTCTGGGAAGACAATGCCAGGAACCTTGTCTCCTCCAGCATCTTACTGGGGCTGGTTTGGGATTGTAGAGAGGATGATTTTGTAGTTTTATGTTTCTTTTCAACACTTAAATTCATGTAAAATGAAGAATGTGGGATATTAAAATTCCATCATTATATTCAAGGTCTGTATTGGAAGAACTGCAAGTGAGTGCACAACGCTTTTTGTCAGCTGAGAAGACAGGAAAGGTGAAAGGACTCATACTCACTCTTAAGGGAAAATCCAGTGGAAAACAGAAAGGCCATGATTTTTACTCCAGATATTTTTCACCATGGTATGGAGTTCTGGAAGACCCTGTTACAGGTATGTGTTTGTGTGATAAGCAACGCTTACTCTCATTTCAGTTCAATTAAAAGGATCTTAATAAACTTCATGAATCTGGTTTTGTACTCTGGAGTCTTTCTTAGAAATTACTTTTTCATAAGGACATATGTTTCATATGGACAGCAGGAGTGTGCTCATTAAACTTAAAACTTTCATGACTGATACCAGCTCAATCAGAAAAAATCAGCTTCTTGCTGTCATCAGGCCAGATGCTCCTACGTCTTTTTCAGATCTTTTCCCTGAAGAATTCCAATTAGAGAAAAGTGAGGGATTAGCTTGGTGTTATATGAGCATTGCAGTAGAAATTCATATCCACTTCTGTTTGGTCTCTTTATTCTTCTTCCTTTTGCTTCTGCTGGCATCTTCTCTAGTTTCATGACACTTTCTGTGGATATTCTCAGGCCTGTGAATAACCTGAACTCATCTAGTTGTATATTTAAGGGCAGGAAGACTAGTTCTCTGCCTGTTCCTTTCATGTCCCACTAGTAGGTGTGGTGATGATTGCTGCAGAATGATATTTGCTTAGGTACCAGTTAATCAGAGGCTAATCATTAGTCAGCTGAGAACTTGGTTAAAAATACTCGTTAAATGTTTTGCTAAATTAAGAGAAAAATGTGTTGGAATAATGCTAGTTATTCAGAGCTTGTAGCAAAAAGAAAGGTTTGCAAAGAAATACAAGCCGTGTATTTCCATTTTCTCTTAAGCCTTCCATCCTGCTTTCCTGATAAAGCTGGGGACAAAGTCTGGTAGCCATATCTAATCCCAGAGCTCATTCCTTGGGATTTATGGGAAGTCTAGTATCAATATATAGGAAAAAACCAGTGGTTTCCAGAGTCTCTGAGATTTTTCTAGGCTTGTCATAGCTCGCTGCTACTTATCTTTCATCTCTAGGTGACCTTTTAATAGCAACAAATCTTTTTATTATATAGCTTACAAATCTTATTTCTTGTGTATATATAATACCATCTATTACACATAATACCATGTATTATATAATATCGTATTATATAATATAAGCATAGTTTTAACAGTGTTACAGCTTTGTATTTTATTTGTTTTATAATGATTTCTTAATAATGTTACATGTCTCAGAGTCCTCAAGCCCTGATAATTACAGTTACTTCCCAGTAGGGTTTCCAGCAGAGAATCTTTTAATGTAGACTGAAGGTCTAGTTGTGAATCTGAGGAGACATCCCAAGTTTTTTAAGCTGTCTGCTGATTAGGAGACATCAGTCTTTTAGTTTTCAGAAGCTGGTAGGATCTTAAAGATCTTCTTGAGTTACATCCTGATACTTAACAGCATTCAAGACTGAAAAAACCCTGAGGTTTTGTTGTAAAAACTTTTAGGAGAGCAAGTAACTTTTGTTTTACAGAGTGACTTCTGTACGCATGTTCCTGTTCTTAAAAAAAAATCCAAAAGCCTATTCAGATTTTTGATGGGTAGCTGTTCATTTTTCATTGAATAATAACGTGTTTAGATGAGTAATATTTTGAATTTGGAAGCCTCACTTCTTGCAAACAAATTAGTAGTTTGGCTCAAGTATTATAGTCTACTAGTACTACTTATTCTGCCAATTGTGGCTAATTGTGAAGCCCTCACCTAGGCAAAATCTCCATTGAAGCTCAGAGGATGAGGAAGTAACAGTGCTTTATCATAAATACAAGAAATTATAAAGCCTTAAGTTCAGTCTGCTGTGAAAATGTAGCTGGTTTTGCCCTAAACACACGTGGCACTTAATATGCTTGTGGTGTTTATATTTTGAATGTGCTTGCTCTATATAGTAGTGATTCTAATTTAATTCTGTACTTCATTCTCCAATTTCTTTTAAGGATCTGCCCATGCTGTTTTAAGCAGCTACTGGTCAGAGCAGCTGGGGAAGAAAGAAATGCTTGGTAAGAGAAACTGTTTTCTTGCAAATCTGCACATTTATGTAAAAGCCACTCACTAAAAAGGAAAAAGTTGTATTATTTCTGCAATAGAAACTATAGCAATAACTCTGTATCCATTTTCTCAATATGAATACATTATTATGTAATATTTTTTGTGAGGTAATCTTTAAAAAATGGCTTTCTTTGCTACCCACTGATATGACACAAGATGCCTGCAGGGAGTTTGAAGTGTCAGTTTCTGTATTGTAACTCTCTGCTCTTAGTTTTTGATCTCAGCTTTTGGATTTTAGTTCTCATGATCTTTCATCATAACTAAGCTTGGTGAACTTTAGATGATGTTTTTATGTTTTGATTGAATTTTACTTCTTGGTCTTTATGGTTTGCATTTTGAGTACTGGGAAAAGGTATCAGTATTTTCATTCACTATGTGAACTTCACAGTTACTTCACAAAGGGAAAGTGTTGTCCATTCCCCTCATGGATATTAAGATTGGACTGAAAAAAGTTGTATGGTTTCTGCATAATCGTGGATTTTCCTTGATAATTACTCCAGATTAATCCCTTTGGTGACTTCTTTAGTAAACTTGGGGTTTAGAATACCTAGTGGTGTTGTAGCTAGATAAGAAGAGGTGATGTATTTTTAACATTCAGATTCTATGTACAGAACGTGCTTTATGGTACATTATTTTCTTGTTTCTGATACATTGTGTGTTTAACTATGAAGATCAGTTTTCCTCAGGATGATGATCATTTACATGGTAGGAAGGAAGGATGTAAGAAAGAACAGTCATGTTACAGGAACAGAAAGAATTTGACTGACCTGAAATATATAAGAATGAGGACAAGATACATGGGGATTGGCAGATTTTGTTTGTGATTATTTGCAGCTTTACTTATTAAGCCTTAGAGGAATCTGAGATGATTTGCCATCTGAAGTCAAAGAACAGATTTATTGGTATTCTTCCAATCAATGTGGTATGCTTGTTAGATCATATATTTGTTGTTAAGCAAGAAACTGAAGAACCTGGTGGGGAAAAAAAAAAAAGAGAGAAACTGTTAATGCATGACAACACTAGAGAAGGAGGCACTAGAGAAAGTGTCTGTTTGCTTTGTGCTTTGCCAGAGAACAGAAGAACAACAGCAGCAATACGGCATACCCTGGTCCCTGCCTGGTTCCCTGACTGGGGGCCAGGGGATTACAATTCCTTTGTGCACCTGACAGCACTTAAATCTTTGGTAACAGTTTAGATCAGAGATTGGACCCTTAATCTAATAAGATTCCTTGTCCATAAAAGTAAGCACTTTTCCAAACAAATGGCTACCTTGAACATAAGTGTTCCTATATTTGGGCAAATGAATCTCAAAATGGAGTTTCTTGGGAGTGATAAGCTTTAAAGGATCTGTTTGCACTCCATAGCTCAGTATGGTAATCTACAATAACTGAGATGTTCTCCATTGTGGACTGAAGGAACAGTTTAACTTTCTGTTCTGAAGATCTCATGTTTGCATTAACATCACACAAATCTGTGATAGTTTCCATAATGTTGGGGTGGAAAACTCCCAACATATTTTCTGAAGAGAAGAATCTCTCTTTGGTAATACACCCTTATGGACTGGCTGTTTCTCAGAAGATTCTAACATTTTTGGATGTTAATGTGGAATTTGAAACTCTTATAGGCAGTGCTTTTTTAAGAAATCAAACAGATTTTCTGTCTGTATTTTTAGATTATGCTTTCTGCCTGTTTTGCATTTTCATGTATTTTGTATGTGCTATGCCATTTCTTCTTTTAGAGAAACTACCTCAGGCAGCCAGGGCAACTGACACTGTAATCAGCTGCTTTAGTTGTGTTATCTTCCCAGAAGATTGTTGGTTGTGGTGTTGTGGTTTGGTGTGTGTGTTTTGTTTTTTTTTTTTTTTTAATTTATTTCATGCTTATGTGTCCTCAAAATTCTGTTGTGGTAGAAAAAATATGAAACAGATTTAAACAGAACAAGTTCATTTGAAATCTGATCCATGTGTGGCCTTTACATGTGTTCATGGGAAGTATTTTTTCCCTACATGCATGTGACTGAGGTGTATCAGATAGTACTGAGGCAAATTCTGTTACTAATGAGATTATTTAGAAAGGATGGCTGGCAATCAAGAAGATTCCATATAACCAAAGATGAATAAATAAAAGCATCTTTTGACTTTTTAGAAACCTTTGCGATAGCTTCTGAAATATCCGTTGCCTTATATTGTAAGAACAAAGGAAGATTTTCTTCCATAAAATGAAATATCTGTTAGTTCCAAAATAGATCAGATATGAAATAGTATAAAAATGAGGAACATTGAATGTATTGTTAGATCTCACTGCGTATTGTGATTTTCAGGAGGGGGTCAGCTGCATCTCTGCTGAAGTATCAGACATAATTTCCTGTGTTTGGATTCTCTTCCTACTTTTATTAAACCAAATTGTCAAACAATGACCACCCCCATCAACTACAAAGAGAATTTTCCAGTCTTTTTACAAGGTGAAATAACTTTATGAATTTTCTTGAAATGATATACAAATCCCTGAATTTAGGCTGAGTGTTAAATGAGTATTGGTCCTTGACTTTTAATTAATTTCAAGAGTCCCTGCAATATTAAAAAAAAGATAACCTCTCATATCAGAGGTATAGACTTACATAATTACTAACAAGTGCAATATTGAGCATCTGTCTCTGCATCTAGCCTTTCACACATTTTTCACATTTCTAAGATAACATTTATAAATATGTGTTTATGGAATTGGATATATTCAAACAGATAATAGAAGACAACTTTTCATCTCGGATGAAGTTAGAGGAATCTTTTCGTACCTGTTTACTTCAGGCAACTGTTATTTATTTGTGGGGAAAATTTGGTTCTTGTTACTTCTGATTCCTTCCCAGTACACAACAGGTTTATAGCATTTGAGAGTTTCTTTTGAAAGGGAACAAACCAAACCAACTAACAAACCAAAAAAAAAAAAAAAAACCAGAAAACCAAACCCCAAAAAACCAAACAAAACAAAAAAACCCACCAGAAAGCCAAACCTTACTTTTATAAGGTTCTTTCAAAAATTTTTTTTTCACACTTTCACAAATTTTGTCAGTATTTCTTCCAATACAAAGTCTGTCCCATCTTCTTACTTCTCAGTTTCCTCAGTTTTTTTTTTGGTGAAGAATTTGCTTTATTCAGGTAGAATAAGACTAAAGTTTTTGCCAATTTGAATTCTCATGAAGTGAAGAGTTTTGTGGATTCATAATTGCAGCTTTTATCTTTCCCAGGTAATCTCAACATATGATTGATTACATGAGATTTATACATAAATGTAATGCATAATGTTTTTGCCAAAGAAGAGGTGTTTGCCTCCCTCAGGCACCAGATTTATCCACCTTCTTTTGTAGAATAAGAAAAGGCTCGGAGATCTTAACTTCACTGAAGTTTAGGAACAAATGCTTCTTTCATCAGTCCTTTTACAGGGTTTAGAAAATTGACCAGAACAATAGTGATTTATAAAATAAGATATTTTTACAAGAATGGCACTTACTCCTGAGTTGCTGTTATGATGATGATGTCATCAAGAAAATCTATTACTTCTCAAATTCAATAAGCAATGGTCATTTAGATACTTTTAGACTGAGAAGAAGCTCCTCAAATCAACAGGATAGCACTTGTGCAAGGCCAGGCTGTCTTGTCAATGCAGAGGTGCATGATTCTATGGTGCTGTGATACCAGCATGGTCAATCTCACAGTCCTTGTACCTGCTCCTGAATTTTGTCTCATGTTAATCACAGGTGAATTCAGGGCACTGTGAATTCAGCTGTTATATATTGTTACCATAGGTTGAAAAATATATACTTGTTTTTATACAAAATATGTATACCATGTATATGTAATATGAGGTATTTCTAGTAAGTACAGACATGGAATGAACATGCAGCAGCTTTGTGATCCAAAAGCTGAGTGCACATCTTAGATGCCTGCATGTCTCTGGAGACATTGCTACGAAATGAAATGCGCTAGTGATTAAAACGTTCCAGGCAGGTCTGTTTACTTTCAGATATAGTGTGAAATGTTAGTGCTTCTGTGTGAGAGAAAGAAAAGATCAAGTATTATTTTCATACAAGCTTGGGTAAAATTTTATTTTGTATCTTTTTTTTTCCCTACTTCAGAGTTTCTTTGCCAAAAAAAATGGACCGGTATCAAAACAGTCTCAGTAATCCTGTCATGAAATAGCACTGGTTCCACATTTAAAGAAAGGAAAAAACCCACCCACCCAATCTCTGAAGATCTGAAATAATTCATCTCTTACTTATATCTGCTGTCATGAGGGAGTGGATGAGTTTAGCTGTGTATCCACACTTGGCAAGAGTAACTGATGAAATTAAGAATGGCCTTGGATCTTCAAGAGTCCAATATAGTCATCTGAAGGCATTACTTCATACTTAAATGTTGTTCTGACAACTTAAAAACAGTACCTTGTTCTATAAATGGAAAAGAACGGAAAGTGCCAATATTGTTCTTTATGTAGTTTTTTCCACTGTTTTGGAGAGTTTGTTTTGTCTGAGAATCTAATACTCTGTTGTAAGGAAGAGCTTTCTTGTGAGCTGTGGCTGCCAAATTGGTTTAGTGTACAGTATATATACCATTTGTTAGAAATCCTGTGCTCTATTGAGATCTGAATAGTCTTTTCCCAATTTACATATGATGTGTTTGTGAGGAAAAACACAGTTTGGCTTAGTAGTTGGAAGTTCATCAAGTAAGGAGGCTGTGAACAGTAATGCCTCTTCATCCATTTACAGCCTTTTGCAAAAACAACGCTGTATGAAACACAAACCTCTGTTAATTGCCATCTGAACCAGACTGTTTTCTGATCAAGTAGTTGTGCAACTAAAATGAGACTATTGAAACAAGTCTACAGACTTGGCATGCTAAGGGAGTGATCATTGTCCAACCTGTGCATGACTAAACGGTTTAGGAAGAAGATTAGTTCTGTAATTATTTACAAGTGGAAGGCTATTTCTACTTTATCTAGCTGTATTAAAATATATATTCAGGATTATATATATCAATATCTTCTTGTCTATGTAAGAATGTGGCCTCAGTTTGTGACAGCTGAAGCATCATCTGTGTTTCTTTGTAGACTTTTTCCACCACCTGCTTGACCTTTATTGTCCCAATAGCCAGACACATTCTTTACCCTAGTATCTACTTCAGATGTTCAATGCTGATAAAGTATTCTTCATTCTTACAGAGTTTATTCTTGGTGTTCTTCCTTCTTACCTACAGGAACTATCTTGTCAATGGGAGAATTCCTGACTTCTTTAGAGATAGGAAGGAAACTCAGTTGGCTATGTCACAGCAAACTATCCTTCACTACTCGTATTAACTGGGATTTTTGCCAGGCTCAATAGACAAGTTCCCATCTGAGATACACCCTCAGCTAATCTTTATCTGTAGAGACAGTTCTGGATCCAGAGTGTCCCCGGTACAGTGCTTGCCCTCATGTTGCTTGCTTTCTGGAGACAGAGACCTCATTTCCCTGAGTTGTCTTGAATTTTAAAATCATTTGTGGTGGATACTAGTTTTTTAACTGTGGGTTCTTGTTTCCATTTAGCCTTTCAATGTTCCCGCCGTGGAGGAGAGTTGAAGATTTCAGTGCGCAGTGATGGAAGAGTTGACATTGCTGGGCAAATTGCTATTGTACTGAAAGGGAACCTGACCTTCTGAAGACATTGTCACTAATCTCCAGCACCTTCACATTATTCATATTATGCTGGTTATCTCTTAGGTTGAGGCAGTGAATCACTACTATCCTTTAAAGTCTTTGATTTCTTATTGTCTATTTAAAAAAATTGCTTGAAAATGCTCACTTCCAATCTTCAGGATCCGTGGTCTTCTTCTCTTCACTCTCATCTTGCCACTTCATAAATACACTGACCTCAGAAAATCCCAAGGACAGCATTCTTGTTCTTCTGCTTTTAAATGATTCTTTTCTTCATTTCCAAATTCCATATTTATTCCTGCTTCCTGGACTGAATTGTAAACTTTTCTGATTGGTAAAATGATTGAACTTTTTTCATATTCAATAATTTTCCAGGAAACCAGACTACAGTCCATGTTTTAGAAGAAGTAATAATCTTTTCTCTGCCATATATTGAAATGATACTCATGTGTTCATTAATATACTTGAATTAAAATATGAAAAAGATATAAATGGATTAGAAATGTGCTTTATGGTTCTCTTTTATGAACAGTATTTTTTGGAGATGAATGGTATTACAGTGAGTCATAGTAGTGTTATTAGTCAATATTTCTAATTGAAGTTTTAGCAGAAATATTTAAGATTGATGTAGTGATGCACATAAAACATAAAATCTAAAAGAAAGCTGTATTTTTTACAGAAAAGTAATTTACTTTTCGAAGACAGAAGATTTGCTTCTAAGTTCAAAGTTTCTCTTCATGGAGCTTCATATTTTGGCACTTTTTTCCGTTAGCGTTCTCATCTTCTTTTGGATTTATTAGGAGTATTGAATTGTTGCAGTTACTCTAGCTAAAACGCTGCTTTCCCTTTCAAATCACTTTTGTCCTAAGCTTTACTTCAGTTCTTATTCTTCACAGTATTTCAGGATGAAGTATTTTGAACTCAGAGGCATTTTTATACTGTGGGAACCAGCTGAAGGTCAGCCTTTTATGATGAGGAACTTCATTGTTCCAGGTTTCCCTATTTCCAGTTATTCTGAATTTTATAACTCATAACTTGCATCTTACTTAATTCAGAGTAGCTGGAGGCAGTCAACAATGTGAGAATCCTAGAATTCATTTGATAGAAAAATTTCTAGCTCCTGCTGCTACCCAGAATGTGTTGAAAATATGATCTAAACACATCGCAAAGCTCATGAGCTAGGTGGCAAGCAAAAGGAATCTCCAAGTGGAAATGTATGTTCTTTTGTATTATACCTTGCTGAGGTTCATGAACCTGAAATGTGGTGTAAAAGCATGGACTCATCACTGGCTGCAAGTCATGGCTGTGGAGGCAGCTTAGCAGTAATGTTGCAATTTTGTATTTGGCAGTCACCTTGACCTTGCCTTCCTTCAAAGCACATTGATCTGGCAGGTGATCTGGATCTTCTTGAGGAGAAATACTGAAAGCTTGTGTTGGTACATTTCCTGCTTCCTATTGGCTTAAGCAAAGAGTGAATCTGGCCCTGAATCTGAGATTCTTAGGGGGAAAAAAAAATCCTTCCTTAAGAATGTAAGTAAGCTAAATAAACAATTATTGTTCACTCATCCACATTTTTTTTTATCCAAGGAAATGAATAATGAAGAAAGCCCAGTAAATTTTAAATACACTTGCTATCTAAATTTCCTGACCAAACCAATCTCTTTGCTGCATTTTTTTCAACAAGGATTTTTTTTTTTTTTTTTTTTTTTTGTAGTTTACTACTACTTTGTCTCTATTTCTGTTCAGAGTAGAAAAATTACCGGAGCTCAGGTGGGAGACTATGCAGTAATGTGTTGGTAATCAACAGATTACTTAATCAGCCATGATTTATTAATGATGAATTAATTATACCTGATTGTGCAGTTCTGCTGCCTAAATGGAGCTTTAAAGGAGTTACTTTATTAATCATCACTGGGCTAATTGCAGACACTTACAGAAGAATTGCTAATTAAACATGCAGCCATATGCAAAACAAGCAAGGCTGCTGAGAGTGGCAAGAAAAAGAACACTCATTTTCTGAGTAGCAACTTTATTCTCATGAAATAGTGTAGTTGACCTGGTGATCCTAATTACTCACTAAGAATATTTTAATACAATGCACATTTTCAGTCAACAGTAAAGGCAATTAACTGTTGTGACAAATTCTGTATGTCTTTTCTAGTACAAAGAAGAGTTTGAGTGAACTTCAGATAAAATTATTTAGAGTTTGTGTGGCCTTGCTTCACGTTTTCATGAGAAGGATTTACCTCTTAGTTTTATTTGGTGTATGTAGTTAATCTAACTTTGAGCAAGACCTGGAATGTTGAGTTACCTTAGCAGCAAATGAAATGTCTGATTACATCTGAAATGGGAATTGGAACTTAAAATTGCATGAGTTTCACAGCAATAAAAGGAGACACGGGGTGTTTAATTAAGTCGATTTCCAAAAGCCAAAGCCAGCACAGAAGATGCAGAAAGGAAACTACTTAAAGGTAGGTTTTTGCCAAGAGACTACCATAATTACATAAATATTAGTGCCTTGTGATCTTGTAACCTTATGCAGCACAATTTTTAGGTCCTTCTGCTAAATACAGTCTTTGAGTGCTATAGAATTTCATGCAGTCTTCATCATCATGGATCTCCCATGGACTCTTTCTTAATGCAGGTTGCTAGGCCTTCCTCAATAATTAAATAAAACTTGGTTAAGGGAGAATTTTCTGGATTGCTTGTATAACAGTACAGTTATCAACACAGAAGTCTGGAATTCAACATTTCTCTAAGAAAAACATTAATTTGCGTTGTTTACATTAAATGTTGAATCAGAAGGTAAATGAAGACACTAAGTGGAAGGTTGGAAAAAGTGCAGTGTCTCTTTAGTCTTTCTGGTGCAGAATTAAGACTGCAGAGGATAGGGATGTGTTGAACCAAGAGCAAATGATGTTAAGGGAAAATACAATTCCAAAAAATCCTGTGTGCTTGAGAGTTATTTATTGTGAGATTATGCAACAGAAGGTCATTAATTTATAGGCCACTGGAATGTGAGTAAATCTGTGGCTAGTTTCAACAGCCAAGACATGAAAACTTAAATGCATATTTGCTCAATTCACTTTTTTGGTGTGTGCCTCTATAGGGGCATAGCTCATGTAGGGGTCAGGATGAAAGCACATAAACATGAGGGAGGAAGCAATAAGTGTTAGGGGAGAACCAGCACAAGAAAAACCACCACAACAACAAAACAACTAGTGAGCAACAGAAACCATATAAGTTTGTTACTATGGAAATAAATGTACAGCTGAAAGAGATGAGAAGAAAATGACAAGCCATTTTTTTTAAATTATCTGCTTGAAGGATTCATGAAAATACTTTTGCATTTCTTTCACGTTCCTGAGATGAGAATAGGCAGAAAAACATATTGCAAAGTTGTTAACAAAATTGGAAAATTTTGCAAAATGTGGAAATAAAAGATTTCATGAATGTGTACACAGCAAGAGGTTGTAGAAAGGAGCCATGTGTTCCGTAAGGGATAAAAAGGGAAATTAGCAACAGATGAGGCAGTTCTTTCTGGGAAAGGAAAGATTTCTTTGTCTCAGAATTCGTCAGTGACAGGGAATCATGCCAGGAACAGGGGGAACCGTCCCAGAAGTAAAAAAAGTAAACTAAATGAAAATTAAGGGTGATACCAGATCAGGTAAAAATTAAATTAGTTCAATTAAAAACTGAGAAATCTGCCAATGAAGCAGTTTGATTCTGACTTCTGTTGTGTTTTGGTGTGTCATCGTTCCCCCCTCCACACCCGAGGAGTAAAACTCTTTAAAGTAATTACCAGACTTAAAACAAAAACACAAAACAAGTTTTTTTTCTCAGTTGCTCAGTCACTGTCCTTTTATTTCCTAAAGTTTACTACAAACCATAATAAATTTTTTCAAAAGAATAGGAAAATGGAATAAGAAAACCCAGTATATTACCAGATAGTCAAAAAGTATCAACTTTCTTTTTCTCTGGAGGTCAGTTTAACACTAAGACCTTTTGTTTAGACTTAACATCTAAGACAGAATATGAAAAATTAAACTTTTCTAACTATCGGTTTCTTTAGTGAGAGGTTCACTGACTTGGGGTTTTGCCTCACTGATTGGCAAAGGAGAACCTGCCCTTGGTTTTAATGTCATTAATCGTATAAACCCTAAGTTTTATCCACTTTCCCGCTGTTCTGTGACTATTTGTTGATAAACCCAAACCAAGAAACCACTTTCCCATATGTAATTTTTGTCTTGTAAAGAATGACAAGGTAGATAAAATACATTAAGCAAACCCATGAAAAAATTCTCAATAACATTTCTAGAACTGTGAGGAGGAAGGAGGTTGAAGGAGAGGAGGGAGGTTTGTGAGGGGTAGGAAGAGGGCAAGGAGGTGTAATGCCTGTGTAGAGACTGTAATACGTAAGCATGGTTAAAACAGTTAAGGGTATGCCCTCAGTTTTTGCTACTAATAGAAGTTAATGATGCAAAGACAGTTTGTACGGGCTGGGAGTCAGGGTGAGAGGTATTTAGGCTAGAGAAGAGATTATGTAGGTTATAGTAGAACTGGAGCAGAGTATGAGGTGCAGCGAAGCCAGGAACCTGAATTTCAGTTGAAATGTACCCTCTACTGACCTTCTGCTTTTGCAAAGCAGCCTTACTGCAGTGCCCATTCCACCACCCTCAGTTCACGTGGGAAATTCCAGCTGGACTTCTTGGCTTTTTCTTCTGTTTCAGGAAGCCTCCTTTCTCCATCAGGGGATATGGCTGTAAACAGAAATAATCTTAATGACTATAGTAATTTCAGTCACCCATATTCAGAATGAGGTGGCTCCTTTCTGAATAAAGTAATTCTGTTTTAGAAACAGCCTTTTGGACTTCAATGTATTCATGCATAGCAGCTTTCTGAAGATATGTTTGGTTGACTTACACATTTAACATCACAGACTCTATTCTTACGTATGTTTTTAGGGAGTATGATTACCACAACTTTCAGAAACCTTTCAGCACTT